CCCAGCCAGCAAAGCTGGCTGGGGCATTCTGGGAGTTGAAGTCCTCCAGGCTTAAAGTTGCCAAGGTTGGACACCCCTGATTTACATGATAGCCTTGTTTTTGTGGCCAAGTAGCAAATCTGTGGATCTGAGCAGATTTAATCTTCCACAGAAGCTACGACTAGCAATAAAGGAGTATAAATTGTTATAACTAAAAGCTTCACAAAACCAGGCTCCATATAAGTACAATGTGTAGAACAGCCTATTCCACATATTCTGTTGAGAAGAAGTTCCCTGAGGTTGAGTTCTAGCATGAGCCCAGAAGCTTGGAAGAATAAACCTTTGGTCTCAGTGACCAACTCAGATTGGATCCTGCAGTATAAATGATAGCAATGGAGATTCTATTTAAACACAAGGAAAATACTTTTTTCTGATGGGAAGATCCGTATAGCAGTAAAACAGTTGTTGAACATGGTGAGTTATCTGTCTCTGAACAGTTTTTCAAGGAGGAGGAACGGATATCTCCAAAGGAGAATTTAAGATTGGATTATACCAGGGGTTCCAACTATGGCAACTTTAAAACCTGTAGACTTCAACTCCCAGAATTCCCCAAACAGCCATCCTAGGAGTTGAAGTCCACAAGCTTTTAAAGTTGCTAAGGTTGGACACCTCCAGGTTAGATGCTCCATGTGATCTTTTCCAACTCTGCCATCCAATGCATAGGACTTGGTAACCCTATTCTTGTTAAACCTCTGGGTTGTGAGCATATGGTTTCCTTTCCCAACCTATTTCTGACAGAACATCTAGGGAAAAATTGGGAAGATACATTTTAAATGAAATATTCTTTCAAAAAAAAATATATGACCTAGAATAGTCATTCACTCTCTTCCATCACTCTCATTCAACATTGTTATAATTCTTTTCTTTAAATATCCAGTCATTCTAATTGTCCCTGATTAATTTGAATGTTCAAAGGAGAGTTTAATAGATCTTTCAGCTAAATATGGCTTTGAGAGTCCCTAAAATCTTGTTGGATATAACAAGGAAGTTCAGATGACATTGTTTTGGGTTGACTTTGTTAAACAGTGAACAAGATGAAAGGGGCAGAAATAGAGCATGCCTCTCCCAAAATCCATTTTCCCCTCTTCTGCTGATGACAACTGCAGCAAATGATAAATCTTCCCCAGCATCATTTTTTCTGATTAACTTAATAGTAATTATATTGAACTTGTGTCTATTTAAAAAAAAAAAAACCCTTCCCTGCTTTACAGATAAAATGATTTATTAGCTGTTCTTATTATCTGCTCAAAAGTGAAAATGATTAATTTTTGTTCTTTTCTCTAAACGCAGACATTTTTGCAAACATATCTCGATTGCTGGAGAATGAAATAGCAGAACATTCAAAGAGCTAATTTAAAGGGGATAAGGTGCTATTGAAAAAAAAAAAATCAGATTTAACCAATGTTGCGGTATAAATAAAAACAATTATGGTGCTCTTGCTTCATTTTTCTGCCACTGAAAGAATCTGTGAGTGTTTTGTTATCTGGTGGGAAAAAATGAGTTTGAATATATGTGTGTGTGTATGTGTGTGTGTTTTGTCATAGAAAGCTGTGATTCCTAATCTTAAGATCTTCTTCAACTTTGACTTTGACAAGGGTAGATGATGAATAAGTAACCTTCTCCAAGGGTTGAAGACTACGAGACAATGAGCTGAAGAAGCAATAATTTATCCCACTCCTGTTTGGATTTAAACTATGTAGATCACATATATAAGTTGAGAAAATGATGGGTAGATGATTCAAGATGACTCACATTGATGAACTCAGGTCTCCTTGACTGTGGATTGGATTATAGTAAAGAGACCAAGGCAAACCATCTGTTCATTTCTCTGTAAGAAGATTCAAAAGGAGGGTCACTAGTGTTTGCCACATCTCCCAGATGTTCAGCAGTTGGGGTGCCCCATAGAGATGTCAGCTACGTGCAATATTTTCTTTTGAGGTTGCAATTTCTCCTTTGTGTGTTGGTGGAGAAATGAATAGGCTCATTCAACACACTATACAAGTCACTTTGTGCAGGCAGAACTCACTGTGCAGAACTCTGCCTGTAGGCTGAAGCAGATATGGAGTAGTTTGGTGACTTCTTGAGTTGAGGTCTTAAGATGACAAAATGAACTGCACTACCATCGGAGATGGTGCTTCTCATGAGGTCAGCGTGAGGAAACCAAAACCAGCCAGATGTTGCCTCAGCAGCTCAATGACCAATGCTGAGGATTATGGAGAATTGTAATCCATCAACTTCTGAAGAGCTAATAGTTCCCCACCAGCTGTTACACTGAAGATTCATGGTACAACCAGGAAGTTAAAACTAGGCATCTTACACCTTGAAGTATTTCCTATCTAGTGCGACACTATTAAAAAGGATAAAAATAGAGTTGGAGTTTTTAATGATTTGGTGATGAGAGGAGGACCTGTGGGAAGAAAGGCATGACAAAGAAATAAATGCTTAGGTATACAACATCACTTGAATGTTCTGTCCAAACCCAACCCAAATTTAGAGCTATAAACATTGTATTACATAAGAAAGTTCTGCAATTCAGACTTTAAATAAGCAACTTTATTAAAAGACACTTACCGTATCCCTAGTTACTGTCATGTTCTATTAAAAGCCACAGTCTATCGCTTATTATTCTTTGCTATTTTTTTCCTTTGTCTTTAAAAAAAATTGTTGTGAGCTGAGTGGATCATTTACAATTTATTAACAAGATGTTCTGATGATACAGTTAGAGAGGTTTTCCATTACCTTACATGCTCACCAAATTATATATATATATAATTATATATATATGTTTAAAAAAGGCTTCCATTTCATACATAATGAACACCCTTTGTTCCTGTTTTGTTTTTGTTTTGTTTTTTTGCAAACAAGTGTGGTTATTTCATACATACTGAAAAAAAAAAAAGAAAAAGAAAAGAGCTCTGGTTAGTTTTTAAATAAATCCCAGTGTGCGCTTGTGTGCATCTTTGTGTGTACTTGTGTGAGTATGTATGTATATATAATATATTCAAAACAAATTATATGTATATATTTATATAACTTTTTTCAGTTTAGCTGTGCTTGAGTAATGAGAGCTAGCTTCTTTAGGCATTGAGAGAGAACAGGTTGATGATTAAAAATAGATTTTAAAAAAAAGGAAGAAAAAAATGGAAAGACAATGAAAATCTGCCTTCAATCCACGATCTGAGTTGATGGGAGTTGGATAATATAATTGTGAGTTCTTGAGCTTTTCCTACCAAAACTAATTGTTTTATGGGGGGGAAAAAGCTTTCTGTCAACCTATCTCAACACAATACAAGGAAGGGAATGCCGCTGTCTTTTAAATGCAGTCAGAATGTGACTATTATTGATTTCTAAGGGTTGACCACATTGGCTGGAGTTCAGGAGAATCTGCATGATGTGGTCAAAATGATCAAGATGGAAGTTGTGATGGTGCTATCAAGTCTCTACTCCGTTGTTTAATGCACAAGGCACATCCAAAACATGGGCAGAGTTTTGATGGTACTGTTGTGGCTGTTTTGGACCACGCCTATAGACAACCATGCTGGACTTGAAGTTGTTAGAGTCCAGCAACAATTAGAGGCCAACAGCTTCCCATCTTATTTTTAGAAAACAACCAAAAAACAATAACAACCAGGAGAACGATACTTTCCTGTTCTCTAGAAAATGGCAATATTTTACTTGAAACTGGAAGAGTCAGTCAACATAGGAATAGTTGCTTACACCAACCCTTCTCTCCCTTCACTGAACCTGATCTACAATGACTTCTAAGAATCTAAAAGAATTCTATTTTGTTGTGGTTTCAGGGTAAGGCTGGTCCTTTGAATATTTTAAAGCATAGACTTTCAAAATAATTTAGCAGTTAACCTGTTGAACTTCACCTCTAACTACAAGGGTGAAATGTCAGGAATTGATGGTATGGTATTTCTTATTTGTGACCCTGTTTTCCAAGGAAGCTTCGTTTCTCCGTAAGCTTCAACATTAAAATAGCTTAAGTGCCTTCCCCAAGCCCCCCCAACCATCCTCAAATGATAAAAAAGCTAACAGATCGCCCCAGCAATTAACACACATGCTGATGGTCAATGAAACTATCAATATAAAAGAGAATAAAACCCTTTGTACCAAAATGTCTGCCCTTCAGGAAGAGGAGGAGGAGGAGGAGAGGGAAGAAGGAGGAGGAGGTTTAATTTGAGGATGAGGAAGAAAAGCAAGAGAAGGAGAGAAGAAAGTCTAATCTGAGGAGGAGACTGAGAAGGGAGAAGGGGAAAATTTAATCTAGAGAGGAGGAGGAAGACACGAAGAAGGCAAAGAAGGTTTAATCTAGGGAGGAGGAAGAGGAAGAAGAAGAAATCTCTAAAGGGTGAGCAGAACAGGATTTTAACATTTTTATTCTCTTGTAAAAGTTCATCTTCATAGCATGCCACCCAATGGAAGATCTACTCTCATACTGGCTGAGCATATCAAGCTGGGCAAGACGTTTGACTCCAATCCTTGGGAATGGAATGGAAAATCAAAGGGAATGATGGCATCCTATATTATAAAACACAGGGAGATTCTCTCTCTCTCTCTCTTGGTTTTTTTTCCTCTTAAGGGATGATACTGAATCAGCTGCTTCACACAATCCTCTTGTCGGAAACTCTCTCCTTTGGGTTACTCCAGTGTTTCTCAGCCGTAGAAAATTTAAGAGCTGCACTGGTTGGGAAATTCTGGGAGTTGAAGTCCGCAACTCTTAAAAGTTACCAAGGTTGAGAAAACACTGGGTTGAGAAACACTATTTTACACATAGCATAAATGCTGAGCAGAGCTACTGGTGGTCACCCATCACCCTGCTTCCATGTTCCTCTGCCCCAATGACCCCCAAGCCTAATGTGAAAGCCATACAAAAGCTAATCCTATTGGTATATCTCTTCTCTCTCTATAAATATATATATATACATACACTCATACATATACAAATACTAACCCACAGACAATTGTTTTAAAACAGTTCAATAGCAACAAGTTGACAGAGAGGTGGGAAGGGGAGACAGAGTCATTGCGTAATTTGGCTCCCAGAAGACCGAGTTTTGATTGTGTTTATTTTGTTGTTGTGGTGGTGGTGGTTTTGCTCTCTTTTTCAACAAGAGGTCATCGTGTCCAATGCTCTTGAGGAAGGAATCTGGAGTGAAGTCGTGGCAACTTTTGTCAAATACAATCCAGTTGCTGGGAGGACACTGAGCTGAAGTCGAGAAAGGCCCTTTCTGAAGCAACCAAGCTTTGGAGAAGGAGGAGTTGAAAAAGTCAGAGGTGATCTTCTGTTTGGGATAGTACGCCTTTTGCTTGTCACCATGGTGAAACGATAGGCCAGCTTTAAATGTCAGGAGTTCTTACAGACCTGGGTAATGAGCAATAACATTGTTTAGTAGCAAGCATATGGAAAGTTTAAAGACCGTACTTTTTTCACCCCTCCTCTAATCTTTAGGCACATTTATTTGGTGGCTCACTTATGACTCTAAGCACTTCATATTCAATTACTCACGTGCCAGAGCAATTCATCATAAAGATTTAAGGATAGAGAAGAAAACACCCATAATTACACTGGCCATTTAAATTAAAAAAGAAAAAGGCCGGCAAACAAAAGAAAAAATGTTACAGCAAAAGATTTGAATTCTATTCTTGGATTCTCTTTGCTTTACGTCATTTATGCATTTCACATCCAGACCTGTGTGGTTCATATGGAATGTAGAGTTTAGATAGGGAACGAGTTTGGTGTAGTGGGTAAGGTACTAGGCTAGAAACTGGGAGATTGTGAGTTCTAGTCCCATCATAGGCACAAGGCCAGTTGGTTGGCCAGTCACTCTCACTCACCCCTAAGAAGGAGAAGCAATGGCAAATCACTTTTGAAAAACTTTGCCAAGGAAACTGCCAAGAGATATGTCCAGGCAGTTTCTGAGAATTGGACACAACTGATCAGAAAGACACAACTGATAAAAAAAAAAAGTATTTGTTTACAACCTTGATGATCTATGAGTCAAATCAAATAGATCTTCTCCTCCACTGAGGAATTAAGTAGATTGCAAATTGCAAGTTAACAACCAATATTTTTTATTCCAAAAGTTTGCACCATTCAACATGCTTCCCCCACCCCCCGAAAGGACCAATATTGAGGTTTAAGGAGGTTCAAAAGATTCAACAATTATGGGGAGAAGAGAGGACAGACAGACAATTCTGCCTTTCCTGCTGCTTTCCTGCTAGCCTTCCACCAAGAAAGATCCACAGGCTGATATCTCTGCACCCTTCCTTGAAGTCTTACAACATGGTTCCATCACAGAGCCAAGCATCCCTAAAAACTGAACGTTGCCAATGCTACCAGAGCAAGGAAAAAGAAAATAAACCAACCTTTCCACCACATTGAAAGCTAACCAAGATAGCTTCACGTGGGAAGACAAAAAGATAAACTGGGTTGGATTTGAAAGGAAAGGAAAGGAAAAATATGTTGAGGGAACAGACTTGTGATTTTTCTTTGCTTTCCCTGCCAGCAAAGAAAAAGCCAAAATTTGTCAAGTAAAGTCTTGTCTGTGAATTATTGGTTGATTTTAGCCAAAGACTGTTGTAAAAGAATTTAGGAAATAGCTGTACAGGTCATAAGTCTGTCATAATAAGCTACTGCAAAAAGAACTATGGCCTGTCACAAAACATAATTTAGTTCTGTGAAATTAGGGAACATTAAACATTTTCTCTTAAATATATACTACAGAAAGTACCAAAGTTTAATCTTTTCAAGTACAGCTTTCACCACTGAGGCTGAGTTGATAAAAAAGGATTACAAAATACTGGTAATATTTCTGTATGATCAAGTATTTGTGTCACATAGAAACACTTTTCTTCCCCATGTATTTATTGCTATGTTTCCATCTGTGTGGAATACATACATGCATTTATACACATATAAATCCATGCAAACACATGCATGTTCTAGCATTGTGTTTTGGGGACACAATAAAGCAATCATAACTCCTTGCTTTTATCCATTAATTTCAAGGATTCTAATTCTCGACACAAAAAACACACGCTTGTTGACCTTGTGTTGCACCATCTATACACCCAGATTTCATCTTAGATGAATTATGTAATTACACTTTAAATGCACACAGAACCCTCAGATTAATGTTGGGGTAGGGAAACTGAGGAAGGTTGAGCTGTAGTTTGGCTACATCTGTAAGTCAGAAAGTTTCCCACCACGAACTAGGGAACAATTCAAGAGTTAAGTAAGTTATAAAATAACTTTCTACCAAATGGAAGAATAATTCACCTTGAGACCTTAGCAGCATGGGAGGTTGAATCTTAAAATCAGAAGACATAAGGCAATTGGGACTCATACCCCATCCCAACTGTTTCTCTCGATGCTGTTTGATGCCCTTTAGTTGCCTTTAGAGTAGTCCTAATGGCATCAGCTAGACTTAGCCATGATTAATTTATCTGCTGGCTCTCATTAGATCTACTCCAAATGCGATGATTCTAGAGCCAATTTATAGAGAACACACTGATGGTTCCCAACGGCTTCATTTGGCCAAATAAGGAAACTGACATTTCATATTTGACTACTATCTCTTTTCCCCTCATCATTCTCCAGTACAGCCCTCCACAAATATTCTCTGCAAGAACTCTTGTTACCTGAGATTAAACCTAAACCCCCCACCCTGTGATAATTAAGCTGAGAATCACACTTGCTGATTTCAATCTAACATTATGGACTGAACTCAACACTAGATTAAGATGGGTTATGATCTATCATGTGTTCCTCTGGTGAAATTTCACTGAAATGGAGCTATGTGGGAGCATCAGTGGTGGGATTCAAAATTTTTTACTGCTGGTTCTGTGGGCATGGCTTGGTGGGCATGGTGTGGCTTGATGGGCATGGCTTGGTGGGCATGGCAGGGGAAGGATACTGCAAAATCTCCATTCCCTCCCCACCCCACTAACCTGCTTTTCAGCTCTGTTCTCCTGTGCAGGGCAACACAAGATGACCCAGCTGATCAGCTGTACTTGGGAGGCAGTGAATAGATGGAATACCACCAGTCACAGGTGGTATTCCAAACTACTCAAAATTTCCGCTACCGGTTCTCCAAACTATTCAAAATTTCTGCTACCGGTTCCTCAGAACTGATCAGAACCTGGTGAATACCAACCTCTGGGGAGTATCAGAATTTTTCACCCTGTTTGTGCTTGTCACAGCCCCTTTTTTGGGACAGGCCAATGGCCAGAGTTATTGGGAATTGTAGCTCAATGAGATTCTTCAAATGTGATCCACCCTGGCTTCTCCAGCATAGCACATCCCTGCAAATGTTATAGATCATAGGGCATCCAGCTTGGCCCCTTTAAGACTTGTGGAAGTTCAGCTCCCAGAATTCCTGTGTGGCTGGGGAATTCTGGGAGTTGAAGTTCCACAAGTCTAAAAATGGCCAAGGTTGGACACCCATGTTACAGACAGATACATAAGAGACACATAAACCCATGCTCTCATTAATAAAACACTTGGTGGAGTCCGTTTTGAGGGACTGGGCTGTTTGAGAATAGAAATTACATGTGATATTTTAGGATTTTCAGTTTGTTGCTGGAATGGGGAAGAGAACTGGCAGAAAGGGCAAACAGTTATTGCCATTTCAGATGCAAGACTGATGAAAATTAATAGGTGCTTAAATACCTGGACATATTTGAGACTTATTTGCAGATACCATCCTGGCATCTCTGTGCTGTGCGTCTCCCTGGCACATCTGAGCCCTTTCACACTTAGTTTGACAAATTAATTTCAGTGCAGGCTCTGTGCAACTTCTTCCATCTCTGTACATCCAGTGTCCTTCCCCCCCCACTCCCCCGCCCCCGATCTCAGCTCTTTCTGGAGACCGCAGATGCTATTTGCTGCTTTCATTAGGACCTGGCTGAAAATAACCTCTGCAATCCATGAACCGCAGTGATCTCTTACTCGCTGAAGGGACCTAACATGCTCCCATAATGATTTGCACCCAGATCAAAAAGATTAAGGTAATGTGTGTAACCCAGATCATTTCAAAATGGCATGCCCTTCTCTTTAAAGCAGGCTGCAAATGGACCATGGTCTACATCTCCTGGAACAGCCAATAGACAGCGGATAAACTGCTTTAGAGTACAGCTAGGCAACTATTTGTAGAATGGAGTGGAATGGAGTAAAGTGGAGTGGAGTGGAATGGAATAGAATTAGAATAGGATAGGATAGGATAGGATAGGATAGGATAGGATAGGATAGGATAGAACAGAACAGAACAGAACAGAATAGAATATGGAATGGAATGGAATGGGATGGAAGGAAATAGAATAGAATAGAGTAGAATAGAGTAGAATAGAATAGAATAGAATAGAGTAGAGTAGAGTAGAGTAGAGTAGAGTAGAGTAGAGTAGAGTAGAGTAGAGTAGAATAGAACAGAACAGAACAACAGAACAGAATAGAATATGGAATGGAATGGAAGGAAATAGAATAGAGTAGAGTAGAGTAGAGTAGAATAGAATAGAATAGAATGGAATGGAATGGAATGGAATAGAATAGAATATGGGATGGGATGGGATGGGATGGGATGGGATGGAATAGAATAGAATAGAATATGGAATGGAATAGAATAGAATTCCTAACCCCACACATCATGGACATAAATTGTTTCAACTTCTACCCTCAAAACAATGCTATAGAGCACTGCACACCAGAACAACTAGACACAAGGAGAGTCATCACTCTGCTAAACAAATAATTCCCTCAACACTGTCCAACTGTTTACAAACTCTGCACTACTATTACTATCAATCTTCTCATCACTCCTTATCACCCATGCCCTCCCACTTGTGACTGTATGACTGTAACTTTGTTGTTTATATCCTAATGATTTATACTGACTTTTTCCTAGTATGATTTGATTGCTTATTGTACCCTATGGTTATTATTAAGTGTTGGACCTGATGATTCTTGACTCTCGACGAATGTATCTTTTCTTTTATGTCCACTGAGAGCATTTGCACCAAAGACAAATTCCTTGTGTGTCCAATCACACTTGGCCAATAAAGAATTCTATTCTATTCTATTATTGATTGACACATGGGATTTGTGTCTGGTGCACAAGCTCTCTATGTACATGCAAGCAACAAGTGATAAATCATGATTATAATCATAAAATACTATCATCACAAATCAAAAGATACAGCACTCAGTGATAGTCATACGATGCTAAATAAAAGCAATCAACATAAATCATAAGGTACAAACAACAAAGTGATCGTCATAAGATGCTAAAGGAACAGGTAATAGGAAAGATGAGAAGGATAATACTGTCCTACTACATGGTTTGATACCCTAGGGAACACGATAGTATTGTGGGAATTAATTGTTTAGCAGAGAGATGAGATGGGGGAAATATTTGTGTCTAGTTGTAGACACAACTGCAGCTAGTAGAAGATAATATTTGTAGCTCAGGGTAGCCTTGGTGCTCTCTGAGCTTCGATGTTTGCTTGCAGACATTGGATAATGAAACATCTGCAAGAAAACAACCAAGCTCAGAGAACACCAAGGACTCCTCAGAAAAATATTTCTCAGCCATTCATGCACAGTAGCTCTACATCTATCCTAGGTGTAGAATCCACTGTGGTTTGAGATCAGGTGGACATAAATGCAAGGATGGGGTGTTGGGCCTATCTTGGGAACCGTCTGACAACGGAACCAGCCTGCCAACTCCCGTTGTGTTAGCCAAACCGGAGGCAATATGGATAGAGATAAACAAAGTGAACTGTGAATGGTTTTCCTGCTGGACTGGAAAGCTGAACCAACTGAAAAAGTACCTCTGTCTAATATATAGTATTAGAGGTATCATAGTTAAGGCCAGCAGCACAGCAGATACTTCCCACTTAATGATTGGCTTTAGCTCTGAGAGCATATCTGCTGCTGCCAGACTGGCCAAGGTGGAAAAAAAACACAAAGAAAAGAAATAGAAAGACAACACTTTGGGATAAGGATATGAAGATTCCAGACAGCTCTTGAAGAAATTGCAAAAGTGCCTCTATATTTCCAAAGAGGTGAGCCATTTAATATGCTTGTGATTTATTGATAAAGAAACTTAATGGGATTAAGGGCTGATGAACAAAGAAAGGAAGAAGGAGTGAAAGAAAGGAAAAAAGAAAGAAAGAGAAAAAAGAAAGAAAGAGGGAAAGGAAAGAGAAAGAAAGAGAGGAAAAAAGAAAGAAAAGAGAGAGCAAGAAAACAAGAAAGAAAATGAGAGAAAGAAAAAGAAGGAAAGAAAAGGAAAGGGAAAGTAGGAAGGAAGGAAGTGCTAGAAGGAAAAGAAGAGAGAGGAAAAAAAAGAAAGAAAAGAAAAATCCAATCACAAATCATTTTGGTGACTTACTAAAGAGGCACATGTTCCAATCTTCGAGAAGGTAATTGCCTCATTTAAATGATAATATGTTTTGTCTTTCCAAAGTGGTTGCTCATGGCGGTATCCACAGATTGTAAAATGCGCATACACAAATGTAGAAGTGAGAACAAGCAAAAAAAACCAAACCCCTCCCTCCCTCCTTTTACTTTACCTCCCACACCGAAGTGCACTTGTGAAACCCAATCACCAAGAGCCACGGCAGACACCAGAAAGGATTTCACTAAATTGTCGGTGCAGCAAAAAAGTATTAAGCCTATAACTTTGCCCAGAGCGATGGGGGCAGCTCATCTGTTCAATACATACGAAAGCTCTTGTAGTAGGTTTCTCCCCTCCCCCCCCTTTTTAATGGCATCATAATCTTTGATTATTCCTAGGAATATTTGGTCTGCAAGAGATATTGCTGTGAAGTTAATGGTGGTTGTAAAAAAAGAAAAGTTCAGCGTGTGGAATAAAGAAACTCCAGATGTGAAGTTGGCAAATTTTGGCAGGGTAGCAACCCCCCCCCCCACCAAAACTAAATTGCTTAGCTAGTTCTCTGACTTGAATCTCTTAATGCTTTCTTCTGGAACTCACTAATTATATCTGTAGAAAATCTGCAGACATTACAGCTCTATTTAGCTGTTATTGCTTTGCCTTTTTCCAGTGGACTCAGCACTGACAGAACTTTGGACTAATGGGCCCCATTAGATGAATGCTAACAGAAAGTTCTCCTCCTGCTTCTCCTCCTCCTCCTTCTCCTCCTTCTCTAATCCTCCTCCTCTTCTGCTCCTTCTCCTTTTGTCCTCCTCAACTCCTTTGCTTTCTTTACCACTCCTCCTCCTTCTCCTTCCTTCCTTCTCCTTCTTCCTTCTCTACCTCTCATTCTTCATTTCAGTTTGATAGAGGGCAATCTGCTTTCGGCATTTCAGAAGAAAATAAAGTCCAAGAATTCCTGGAAAGATAGACAGATGGAAAGATGGACGGACAGATGGATAAAAGGCTGGATACATGGATGGATGCATGGATGGACTGACCGACAGACAGATGACAGACCAACTGACTGATTGACACCCAGAAAAATTCCAGAGTGATGGAACATTGGATAATAGAAAACAAGGAGCATCAGATAATAGGAAACAAAGAAGTTGGCCACCATTGTCCTCATCCCAAAAAATATGAAAAAGACTCAAGCTCTCTGAGAATAAAGTTCAAAAAAACAAACAAACCAACAACAACAACCCAAAAACTTCTTTTAAGGGGGAAGAAAACTTCAGAGGAACTGCAAGGCATTAGAAGTTCCAAGTGAGGTACTGATGGAATCACTCTACTTCAAGAGGTCCAAGTAAAAATGTTACTTGGATAACATTTTATAAAGTTAATATAAAAAGATAAAGATTATCTCTGATAATATTTCCAGAAGAGACATTCCATCTCTTCTTTCCATTGTCACCCCTTTCATATTGTTGAACATTTTTAACCTCCTTTTCACATATGCATAATAAGGTGGAATACCTGTGTGGAGATCTCTGTCAGGAAGAAGGCAAGGTTGCATGGTTGAAATCTAAAACCCAAGCACTGGGTGGTGAGCACTCAACAGAGGGCAAACCCTACTCCCTTCTAGCACTGATGATGTTCCCTAGTTGGGTCATGAAATGTCTGCAAGGAAACACTCAAGCTCAGTGAGCACAGAGGACCTCACAGTTCTCATCAAACCAGACAACATCTAAAGGAGCCCCTTGCTTTAGAATAGAAGAGAATAACAGAATTGGAAGGGACCTTGGAGGTCTTCTAGTCCAACCCACCGCTTAGGCAAGAAACCCTACACTATTTCTGACAAACGGTTATCCAACATCTTTTTAAGAACTTCCAGTGTTGGAGCATCCACAACTTCTGGAGGCAAGTTGTTCCACTGATTAATTGTTCTCACCATCAGGAAATGTCTCCTGAGTTCTAGGTTGCTTCTCTCCTTGATGAGTTTCCACCCATTGCTTCTTGTCCTGCCTTCAGAGAATAGCTTGAGCCCCTCTTCTTTGTGGCAGCCCCTCAAATATTGGAACACGGCTATCATCTCATCCCTAGTCTTTCTTTTCATCAAACTAGACATATCCAATTCCAGCAACCATTCTTTGTGTGTTTTAGCTTTCAGTCCCCTAATCCTCTTTGTTGCTCTTCTCTGCACTCTTTCTAGAGTCTCAACAACTTTTTTTTACATTGTGGCAACCAAAACATCATACTCAGCAACTGTGGTCCATGCCCAGGAGACAATTCCCGAAGCCATCCCATCCCTTTCAGATTGAGCTAAGTTGACTTAGGGTAACCTCACCATATAAGCTTGAAGCTATCAGACAACTTACAGCATAAACTGAAGAGCCAGAGGAAGATCAGAACTGTGCTGGGGTAAAATGTAGGAGAACCACTACAGTCAACTTTGTATTTTGTGCAGGAGCACACTTGGATTTTCAGTTCCGTATTGTTACTTAGAGGAGGTGTTCCAGGATCCGTCACCAAGATGGGGATGATATAATTGGCCTTCTTCAAATTGGGGGGCACGGCAATCTGGCTGTGGGTATCTGCAGGAAGCAAGGAAGTTAAATTTAGGGCGATGGTTTAAATCTTGCAGAAGACATGGTGGCGAAGTGTTTTTCAAACTTGGCAACTTTAAGATGGGTGGACTACAACTTCCAGAATCCCCCAGCCAGCATGTTGCCAAGTTTGAAAAAAAAATATATATATAAACCCTGCCGTAGTGGAACAGTAAAAAAAGAATCAGCTTCAAGACAGGTGGCCCAGAAGTCAAACGTTATCCCAGCCAAGAAAATTTTTAGCACATCCCTTGGTGCCAACTCCTCTTTTATTTGCAATAGGAGGATAATAATATTGCCTTATCATAAAATGTTAGTTTAGGGTTTATAAGTAGATGGGACCCATGAAACACTCTGAGTGCTTAACACAGCCATGAAACTGTCCACAGAGAGCCTTCTCATCCATCTGTCTTTCTGTATACATTAGGACTTCTAAGAACTTTGCACAACACTCGTAAAATGCATATGGAGGATACGCTGATCTTCCAGCTCGGTGCAAATTGTTCACAAGTTTTAGACCTTTGCAAAAATCCAGAGCCTTAGCTATCTTGTTTTCTCATTACCACGTGTCTTCGACCCTGCATGCAACCAAGTGTTGTGGCCCACTGGTGGCTACCAGAGCTGGCAGCAGAGTTAGATAGTGAGGAGGTTGGGGAGGAACATGGGCCAGTCCTGGAGACTGAGGAAGGCTTGGACGAGGGCTCTGTATCAGAGGCAGAGATGGGACCAGGCCAGGCTGGCAGTTATCAGCTGCCTTCAGCCTCGGACAACAGTGAGGTGGGGGAGTAGCTGGGGCTTTTGCAAGAAACAATTCGTCCATTGCTGCAGTGTGAAGATTGCAGAGACTCTGTGCCGAGCCCTTCCTTGTCATCACTGCATTTGAAAATATTTACTTGGCACCTCTCCAGGCTACATAAGGTCTGTGCTCTTAATTAGACCCTTGAAAGACTGTTTGCCAGGCCTTTGGATGAATGTGGACGCAAAAAATTCACCTTTGCTTAATAAAAGGGGTTTTGCCGGGACAAAAAGTCTGCTTAGTGCTTTTTGGGGACGCCTAGGTCAGAACACCAAGGTTATGTGGCTTGTGGGTTTCCCTCCCTCAACCTTCATTTTTAGGTAACTGAGCTAGTAGCAAAATGAGTATTGAGGGTAGGATCCAGTGGCAGGAAATGGGTTCCACCATATCTGTAATTTTTTTTAATGACAAAGAAACAATACGTATGCCCCACTGTTTGGAATTCCTGCAATGCATTCTGCAGTTTGCCTCCCACAACACTCGTTTTCTGTAGAAGACACAACAAAGTATATGGAACAGTGCACTGCAGAGACTTTTCAGAACTGTTGGAGACCACAGCATCTTCTGGCAGCAATTAATTTATTTTGATGATTTGGGCAAACAGAAGAGATAGTTAAGGACTAGGGTCTTCCAATCTTTATTTCTGAATTTGTCCACTTTACAGGAAAGCGGCGTCCCTTCAATGAAGCAGGTCATGGACCACCCCCACCCCCCGAGAAGAATAACACAAAACAGATTATATTGAGAACAACAGTTCATCAATTTGAAAAACTGGTGCTAAGGAATTGTGAATTAGACCAGTGTTTCTTAACCTCAGCAATTTGAAGAACATGTTGGCTGAGGAATTTTGGGAGCTGAAGTCCACGCATCTTCAAGTTGCTGAGGTTGAAAAACATGGCATTGGACAAATTCAATTATAAGTAAAATTGTCGGGCAATGGATGTTGGATAGGAAAAGAAATGGATATGTTCTTGTTTTTTTTTTTTTTTTAAAAAATAGAATGAGGTAGAATTTAGGTGGACCAGGCTAACAACCAAAGGTCAGGGGTGTATGCAGAGTACAGTCAAAATGGTGGCCATGAGGATGGAATTGAAGTTCCATCTGCTTCTTAGGTGTTTCTCACACACATGGAACTTCATTTGCAACATCATGACAACCATCTTGGTTTTGTGGATGTGATGTGGACTTCCTTGAAGATGATGGCTCACACAGATGGGACCCAGCCAGATTTATACCTGCAGGGAGAAGGACAACTGTAAGAGACAATGCTGAATGTTTGGTTGTTCCTAATGGACTTACTGTTAATTCTGGTAAGCTTCCATACTTTATCTTGACCTGATTGTTTGCTCAACTCAAATTTGAAGGGCTCTTGATTGGGGTGAATGTCTTTATCTAAGGCACCAATGACAACTTTTACATCTTTCGCATCTTCACAGACACTGGCTACCGTTGGGTAAAGAGAAGGGGCGTTGTCGTTCACATCCTCCAAGATAATCTGCAACGTTCCTGTACCTGTAGCTGGAGGGCTACCTGCAGGAAAAGCAGAAAGTATTTACAAATGCTCCATTTATGTATATTGTGTTTCCCTGCAGGGTATGATGAACGCACTTGTGCATTAAGGCAACAGATGCATTAAGGCTTTGTAACAGAGAAAGTAAAGAAAACACACACAAAAGAATCCATTGGGTGCCCTATTTGCAATGCCAGAGTATTTTTTTTCTTTGATGACCAATGTCCATATCAATCAATCAACCAACCAACCAACCAACCAATCAAAAATGGAGAATGGCCATATTTCCCAGTGTCAGGATTCTGGTAGTTACCCCAATTAATATTTCTATGGTCTTTTTACAGTTGCCACCCAAGACATAAGTGGTGATTCATAAGTGGCCTCCAATATTCTGTATAAAGCTGGACTTTTAACTAAGTTCTCTAGTAGATAGGAGTCTTTTTGAACATTATAACATGGCAGAAAATAAGACCCTGTTTCTTAAACGATGCTCTCTATGCTTACCTATTTATTATGGGAACTGGTCCATCGGGTTAGGAATCACTCAAGGGACTGAACAAGTTTTCTCCTCTCGCATCTCTGACTTCAGCAACAGAGTGGTCAATGTCTGGAATACGCTACCTGACTCTGTGGTTTCTTCCCCAAACCCCAAAAACTTTAACCTTAGACTGTCTACTATTGACCTCACCCCTTTCCTAAGAGGTCTGTAGGGGGCGTGCATAAGCGCACCAACGTGCCTACCGTCCCTCTCCTATTGTTTCTTTTATTTATTTTATTTTTCTTATATGTATCCATGTATTCATAACTATGTTTTTACTTATACCTATTATCTTGTAAGTAATTGACAAAAATCAATCAATCAATCAATCAATAAATAAATAGGGTAATACTTGCCATACAATCATTTGTTTAGCAACCACTTGAAGATGCAACATCCCTGTAAAATTATGACTTATGACCGATCTTCACACTTCTGAACATTCCTGCCTTTCTGTGGTCACATGATCAAAACTCAGGGGCTTGGCAATCAGAAGGGGTCCTGGGCTCACCAGCTGCAACTTTCCAAGTTGGCTTCTAACAAGCAAAGTCAATGGGAGAACCCAGATTCACAGCCATGTGATCAGTGGTGGGATTCTACTGGTTTGAACCGGTTTGGACCAGTTTGGGCGAACCGATAGTTCCGCTGAGCATTTGGCCCTGCCCACCTGCCCCTGTTCTTTCTTGTGCTTTATTTCCTGGGTTTTTATTTTATTTTTTTAGCACAGCTGATTCTCACCTCAGCTGTTTTAGTCACCAGGGCTGCAGTAGAAGGTAAGTATTAGAGTTGAAAATGCTTTTTAAAACTCAGAGTCACTCCCTGAACTGGTTGTTACCTCGATAGAATCGCACCACTGGGTGTGACTCACTTAAGTGAAATTATTTGCTTAAAAAAATACTGTAAAATGGGCAAGATTCACTTAAAAACCACCTTGCTGGAAATTCTGGTCCCAGTTATGTTCATAAATCAAGGACTACCTGGAACTGATATATGGTTGGTTTCACTGTTAGCTTTATTTTTTGCAGACATTCCCCCCACAGTAGCACTTCAAAACTTTCTGAATTAAGCGTTTATCTTTCGAGAGCAGAATCAAGACCAGCACTTCCCTCTGTTTAGATTGACAGGTGGTAATAACTTCTTGTTCCTTTCCAAAGTTGACCTAGCTATCTCATGTACAGGTGAGAATGTGATTTCTCCCTGTTCTCTTCCCCCACACTTCTCTTTCACCATCTGTGTTTTCGGTCGCATCTGCTCCCAAAATGAAACTGTAAAGCCAGCAACAACAAACCACATATTTGTTTCTAGTAATTACTAGCATTCGCAATGATTCTTCCATTCCAAACGAAGGAGGGGCATTATTATTTCATGTCACTCTGAGGGATATGCAGGAATTCTCATTTTGTGATTCCCCCAAGAACTTCCTGATTCATGTAATACTCTTTTTTCCCCTCCTCCATGACTGTTAAGCCATATGGAATCCAGATTATCATGGGATTTTTAAGAGAAATAAAAACCACACTAGGAAGTGTCATGCCTGAAGAGGAATCCATTAAAGTCCTCCCTCCCTTGCAGACATGTAAAAAAGCAACAAGACTTGAACCAGATTAATGGAACAACAGAGTTGGAAGGAACTTCGGAGGTCTTTTAGTCAAACTCCCTGCTTATGAGGGAGACAAACAGTTATCCAATCTTTTCTTGAGAAACTCAAGTGATGGGGCACCTAAAACTTGTGAAGGCAAGCCATTCCACTGATTAATTGTTCTCCCTAGCAGAAATTTTCTCCTTATTTCTAGGTTGGTGATTCCATCTTGATAACAAGACGACCCTGGAGATGTTCTGATTGTCATTCTTGGTTGGAGGTATGGAGGAGGAACAACTTCCGGTTATGCATTTACTATAATCCACTTGACTTCTAGTAAACTTTACTTTTCTCAATAAATGGAGTTAAGGATCATTCTTTCTTAGAGGTTCAAGTTGAGGCAGGTCTGACACTCTCAGTCATTAAATATTTGCTCACCCATCCACAAAGACATGGACTGTTAACCATAATTCGTTGGATAAAGAAGAACTGTTTGTTCAAGTGGCATATCAAGCTGTCAATCATAGTTTAAAGGGCACTGGAATTGGGTCTGTCTTTCAAGGTAAGCCAGAACCAAACAACGCATCATGGATTAGTGAGTTATGGTTGGAGGCATTGTGCATTGTGAAGCTACGGCAAGGCTACTCATAACGGTGGGAAAGGGGATAGAATTACCAACCCCAACAGGTTCAATCTGTTCAAAACACCCAGCATGACCTTGGGAGACTGAAAGGAAAGAAAAATTAACATATTAAAAATAAGTTCTGAGAAAACACGATTGGAAACAAATTCATAGTTGCAGAATGATAAATGATCCCAATGGTTATTTTTCATTCATTTCAGAGAAATAAATGCACCACCAAGGTGGGATTTTCCAACTCCTACAGTCTCTCCACCCCTGGCCCCTACCCTAGGACCTGACCTCCAGGAATAATAGGCTGCATTCTTATTAATAGAAATGGAAATGATCATTCAGTTAAGGCTAAACTAATTGAATTTTCAAAAAGGCTGTATGTGTTCTCTTCTCTCTTTTTTTGATATATTATTAAGCTGATTCAGGAAGGTGAAATGGATGAAAAGTCAACGGAATACTTGAAATATGAGCAGAAAAGTCAGGTTTGGGGACCCTTAATTAAAACACCATCTTTACACTGGAGTATATTATTTGCCAATCATCATATTCTAGTAAGTCGCTGTTTTTCTGATTTTTTTTCTTCTCTCTGCTGTTTCAAAATTATGCACCGGCAGTGTTTGGAAGTGGGAACACACTGGCTCTGTGGTTAATGCAGTTTTAATTTGGTCTCTTTTTGCCCGTGCTTTAAGCATCTCTCAGCTACTACCAACATAATGAGAAACAGAAAATTGCCTCTTGCTTGTTGGAGCGACTCTGTATTATTCATACATGTCTATTATTTATAACCAATTACACGCCATACACCAGGATTTCAAAAGAAAAAACAAGCAAATGTCAAGGTTGTAAGCTGAAACTGGTTAACAACTTTAAATGTAGGGGGAAAAAGCATTGAAGGGGAAAGCCAGAAATAAACAGACCCCCATCAAGGCTAAATTGACCCCCCTGGAGAAGCCGTCATATTATTCATCTCTTTCCGGGGTGTAAAAATAGAAGGTCTCCGAAGCAAACCCCTGTCCTAAGAGGATTTGTTAAGTACACAGACAACAGATTAATCAAATTGACAAAAGGAAAGATTGCATGGAGGCAGTGCCTTATCTCTTCAAGGAAGGGAGGACTGTCACCCTGGTGAAGAATCAATACCGGCTTGTTAGAGAAACTCAAGCATGATGATTGCCTGCACATGCGTGGTTGATGCTCTGGGTTTTTGTTTTTTATTTTATAATGTCAGTTGCAGACTTGGGCAGACAAGCTCATTTCTTCCGAGACAATCCAGAAAAATAGAAGGCATCAGATGTTGCGGCCAAATCAATGAAAGAGGCCAAATTGATAGGTTTATACATCACAAGTCAATATTTGTTTGTCTTACCTGCTGATGTCCCAAAGGTGCTTTGTCCAAAAGGCAACTGGACTTTCTTGGTTGTTTTTTTTTTTTCCTCTCTGAAAATGTTTAGCTTCTCCTCCAAGATGCTTTTTCAGCCCTGACTGACTCATTATACTGAGGCCAAACTGAACCTACAGATTTCCATCAGCATGAAAAACAAAATTCTGGGGCTCTTAGATAATTTAAGAGGAAAAAATATCAGCAAATCCAGTGTCAAGTGTCCCGTTTTGTCCCATTTTTCCCCCCATGCTTGAGCTGGCTTGTCTAGATGTAGAAGGAAGTAGCTACAGGTATTAAACTTTCTCTGAGCACTTCAAAAGAGGCATCTTGGCTTTCCTGTCTTTTCTTCTTTTAAAGGACAATATCAGAACTCAAAGAAGAAGTATGGGGTGGGTAGGATTCAAAGAAAGCATTTCGACCTTCACTTCTCATGCTCATCCATCCATTGAGCTAAACTTTCAGATGTGAGATCAAAGGCAGCTCCAGATCTGTTCCACGTCAGTGTCCTATCTAAGCCAATGAAATGGTTTTCAAGATGGATTGTCTTCTGCAACAGTCTTGCAAGAACCTACTTAGGGTATCCAACAGGCTTATCCACAATGTGTGAATGATTCCAGACAGGGACAAATTAATTGTCTTGTGCCAAATAACTGTTCTATTTTTATTGTTGAATATCCAACCCTTCCTTTCTTCTAGCTAAAGATAGCACTGACTGGGACTGACCTCATTGCATTCTTGTCACAGTCACCTTATGATACAGGTTGGACTAACATTGAATGAGTAAGTGACTCAAAGGGAGCTCCGTGGTCAAGTAGAGCCTTGAACTTGAATTCTCCTAGTCTCAGCTTAACACTTTAACTATTAAACCACAGGTACACGTTGTAATCG